ATTGTTTGCAGAGATGCTATGTCAGCGTTATTCTAGCTATACAAGTCATCATTCAACTATACTATATTTGTATTGGATTCTAAAACTTAGGACTTACACATGGTGTTAAAGATTAATCAGTTTAACACTGTTCGGAAAAGGATGCTCTACCTATTCTCTGATGGCCAATCTGCATGAAAGTCTAGACATGTCACTTACTGTCTTACTGACATGAGCAACCAGCATCAACTTCATCACTCTATGAACATAGAAAACAAGTATGACTGCCCGGAGAAAAGTGCAGTTTTATGACCTGATTTGAAGCCTGCCAATTGGATGAAGATAGGCCACCTTCAACAATATCTCCGTCAAATCACCAAGGTCAGTTTAAATGAGGGAGAGAAAGTGCTCCAGTGTCCAACAGATAGGTCACTAGGCTGTAAACAGTAGGACTGTACACAACTCGAACCAGCATCCTGTGTTATGTAAGACTGGAAGGTTTGAGCTGGATCCATGTTGTACCAATCTGTGGATCCAGGAACTTGGGAGAGTGGGGGAGCGTTGGAGCGGGGAGAGTAAAAGTGGGACTACTTTCAGTGAATTAAGGGATAATATTTAAACCTGGGAACATTTATTTGTTCTCCAGACAAAAGAGTTGGGGTACGCAGTAAACACTTGTTATTAAGGGATCTGATATACCAATAACACAAAGTTATTATTCCTTGGTTCATGCCATCGGTATCCATATGTGATTTTTAAAAGGGTCTGTAGACAACTGTAAGACAAGTTCATGGAATCCTTTCAAGGACCCAGACAATCGCCGTCAGTTTATTGACGCTTGTAGCTATATTACATTGTGGTTGCACACTGACCAGTGAGGCAATGGAAACATCAGAGACTGGCCTGTAGGAACAATCAGTTATTATATGTCTGTGAGAATATAGGGTCATGACTTAACATGACTTGAGGAAACAGAGTCTTCAAGTTTTGCAATATTCCAGCAATGTCATGGCAGGGGACACCAGAAATGGGCTTCACACATTGTACCCATGTGGGAAATCGAACCTGGGTCAATGTGTAATAACATTGTAGATTTATCACACAGTGATATCTTCAACAGGTGATTAATAAACTGTTGTTCTAATCGCTCTGTACAAAGTGTTAGATAAAAACTGTTCTATAAAGAGGCAGGTCAGATGCAGTCACACTGGACCAGCTCCCTAACTGTTGTGTGACTATTCACTAACAAATGATGCTCATACAGAGGTTGTCGTGTTAACAAGTGTGTTTGGAAAAGGAGGGACACAAAGTGATAATTTCACAAAATATATACCTGTTTTTAGACAGCTGTTCATTACCAGTGAGATCCTGTTGCTTAAGTCTCAATGAAACAGATACTGCCTTCCATACAACTAGTACCAGCCACAAGTCAGACTCGCAAACACATGTGAAAACTACAAGCTCAGTAGAATTAGAGCCTAGTGTCAAAATATCTGTGGGTGACAGGTCAAGGACCAATCAAGGTCACACCAGACAAATCAAGGTCACATCAGACCAGTCAAGGTCAGATCAGACCAATCAAGATCACATCAGACCAATCAAGGTCACATCTGATCACACCAGACCAATCAAGATCACACCAGACCAATCAAGGTCACATCAGACCAATCAAGGTCACATCAGACCAATCAAGGTCACATCTGATCACACCAGACCAATCAAGATCACATCAGACCAGTCAAGGTCACATCAGACCAGTCAAGGTCACATCCGACCAATCAAGATCACACCAGGCCAATCAAGGTCACATCAGACCAGTCAAGGTCACATCAGACCAGAGTACCTCTTACAACATCTCAAAAGTAAAAATATATATGCCTTTTCTTGCTATGTAACCTCAGAAACATTAACACATGGCATTCAAAACAGCAGCTTAAACATTTGAATCAGGAGAGACTGTTTATAGGATGGGAAATGCAATCTCATTCACCTATTAGATATTTCTTTAGCTCAGTTTTTAAATTCTTAATTGATATCTTTTGTCAAAATAACTTCAAAGTCTCGAAAGGAAGTTCCATTTCTGGAACTAGTGCTGTAAAGCTCAATATGGCTGCTTTCTCATTGGCCTTTGTCAACTTAATGTTAATCAGGCCTTTGGTTGACAAAAATTGCATTTGAAAAGAAACAAAATCAGCGGGATGTAAAGGCTGCATTACCTTTAGTTCAGTGGAGACTGCTTTCTTTACAACAGATTCTATCAATGAAAATTGCTCTGAGATAAATTGGTTGTGAGCAGCTTGTACACAGTTACTGACAGCGCTCCAGATAATGTTTAACCACAACAGTACTCTTCATTATCAGAATTGACGAATACCAGACTTATTTATTTAAACAAATAGTGCCTTACTCATTTGTAGAGTGACTGAGTGAGTTTAGTTCTTGTGCCGCTTTTAGCAATATTCCAGCAATATCATGACACCAGAAACAGGCTTCACATCTTGTGCCCATTTGGGGAATCGAACCCATGTCTTCGGCATGATGAAAGAACGCTATAACCACAAGGCCACCCCACCGCCCCTCTGACAAGTTCTCATACAGTGAACATTGAGATTTTGGTGCCAAAAATGTAAACAGAACTGAGGCAAAAAAATTCTCTGCCTTAAAATCAAATCTAGCAGGATGAGGATGGAAAATATTTCCTGCTGTTGTAAAATATAAAATAACCTATTATTGTCTGTAGAAGAAAATGCCAGAAAACATTTTACTTTTTCAAGAAAACTTTTCAAAATAAATAGACATGGTTCCACAACAATTAATCGAGCTAATGTTTGGTAAAGTGTTTCCATGTGAGTGATACAGTTGTAATATTCAACCTGTACAGATCTGGGTTAGAACTGGTCTTCAGCAACCATGCTTGTCGTAAGAGGCGACTAACGGGATCGGGTGGTCAGGCTTGCTGACTTGGTTGACACATGTCATCGGTTCCCAATTGCATAGATCGATGCTCATGCTGTTGATCATTGAACTGTTTCATGCAGATTGAACTATTTACAGACCACCACCATATGGACAAACCCCAAAACAAACTAACATCTAGTCTTCATCAGTACAATACTTAGATGAAGCATTTATATAGATGACTTGATTCATGAGCTGTATTCATGAGCTTACTGTTCCTGGTTACTGCCAAGAGTTAGTCTGGAATCCAGTTTATGCAAATATAGGTGAAGACTTGATTATTCATTTCCTTGGATAAAGGAAAGTCCTGATGGCCTTCAAAACTGTCTTGATGAGCTGACACAATTCATTTATACACCCACTCAACCCTGATTATCAGTGTAATCACCCCGCCCTAACAGCTTAAACATAATTATCATTGCTGTTTATATACAAGTACAGTCACAAGTCTCCATTCTAGGTGATGATTTGCCCTTAAGGCTGGCTTAATCTTCTGTCTTTATTAGTTTAGATGAAGCAATGCTTGTAAAGTGTGCACAGGGCCAGATTATATAAACTGAAAATCAAAGCGTCTGAGTAGAAATGAGGGGAATTACAGGAAGAGAATCGAAACAACACGTCTCGGAGTAACAGATCAATCCCAGCTATTTCCTGCTTGGGTGGCAACTCGGAGATGTGTTGGCCTTCTTGGTCTGGACATTTGTTTGGTTGAGACTATGACATAACTGGATTATGAACAAATGTGCCAGAATTCTCATATAGTATAGTGATAAAGATACATTGAAACCTGAAGCACAAGACTGGAGCACACGGCTGGAGACCAAGACTGGAGATCAAGACTGGAGACCAAGATAGAAGCACAAGGCTGGAGGCCAAGAATGGAGACCAAGACTGGAGCACAAGGCTGGAGGCCAAGAATGGAGACCAAGACTGGAGCACAAGGCTGGCGACCAAGACTGGAGATCAAGACTGGAGACCCAAGACTGGAGCACAAGACTGGAGACCAAGACTGGAGCACAAGGCTGGAAACCCAAGAGACCAAGAATGAGAGACCAAGACTGGAGATCAAGACTGGAGTACAAGGCTGGCGACCAAGACTGAAGCACAAGACTGGAGACCAAGGCTGCAGACCAAGTCTGAAGCACAAGACTGGAGACCAAGGCTGGAGACCAAGTCTGAAGCACAAGACTGGAGACCAAGACTGAAAACAAGGCTGGTGACCAGGAATGGAGACCAAGACTGAAGCACAAGGCTGGCAACTAAGACTGAAGACAAGGCTGGAGCACAAGACTGGAGTACAAGGCTGGAAATAAGACTGGAGCACAAGGCTGGAGACCAAGACTGAAGACAAGGCTTGAGACCAAGAATGGAGACCAAGACTGAAGCACAAGGATGGAGACCAAGAATGGAGCACAAGGCTGGAGACCAAGAATGGAGCACAAGGCTGGAGACCAAGACTGAAGCACAAGGCTGGCGACTAAGACTGGAGCACAAGGCTGGAGACCAAGAATGGAGACCAAGACTGGAGACCAAGACTGGAGTACAAGGCTGGCGACCAAGACTGGAGCACAAGACTGGAGACCAAGACTGAAGACAAGGCTTGAGACCAAGAATGGAGACCAAGACTGAAGCACAAGGATGGAGACCAAGACTGGAGCACAAGGCTGGAGACCAAGAATGGAGCACAAGGCTGGAGACCAAGACTGAAGCACAAGGCTGGCGACTAAGACTGAAGACAAGGCTGGAGCACAAGACTGGAGTACAAGGCTGGAAATAAGACTGGAGCACAAGGCTGGAGACCAAGACTGAAGACAAGGCTTGAGACCAAGAATGGAGACCAAGACTGAAGCACAAGGATGGAGACCAAGAATGGAGCACAAGGCTGGAGACCAAGAATGGAGCACAAGGCTGGAGACCAAGACTGAAGCACAAGGCTGGCGACTAAGACTGGAGCACAAGGCTGGAGACCAAGAATGGAGACCAAGACTGGAGACCAAGACTGGAGTACAAGGCTGGAGACCAAGATTGGAGACTAAGACTGAAGACAAGGCTTGAGACCAAGAATGGAGACCAAGACTGAAGCACAAGGATGGAGACCAAGAATGGAGCACAAGGCTGGAGACCAAGAATGGAGCACAAGGCTGGAGACCAAGACTGAAGCACAAGGCTGGCGACTAAGACTGGAGTACAAGGCTGGAGACCAAGAATGGAGACCAAGAATGGAGACCAAGACTGGAGACCAAGACTGGAGACCAAGACTGAAGCACAAGGATGGAGACCAAGAATGGAGCACAAGGCTGGAGACCAAGAATGGAGCACAAGGCTGGAGACCAAGACTGAAGCACAAGGCTGGCGACTAAGACTGGAGCACAAGGCTGGAGACCAAGACTGGAGATTAAGACTGGAGACCAAGAGTGGAGATCAAGACTGGAGACCAAGATTGGAGACTAAGACTGGAGACTAAGACTGGAGACCAAGATTGGAGACCAAGACTGGAGCACAAGGCTTGCAAATGACTGAAGGCAAACAGACAAGAAACTCACTTACCAAATACAAGCTTTTGCTAAATCATTCAGATGCCCTTGAAAGTTTCTGTCTCCTGAACAATCCATGTCTATCATTAATAACAAAACTTATCCCAGAAAACTGCTGCAGCAAACAATAAACATGAGTAAAACAGCGGCAGTAGTCCGTCCAACTTGTCTCCTCAGATGATGAAAGTGGACTTCATATTCCACTTGGTGGAATTATCATTAAAGATCACAAGAAACAAATTCATGAAAGGACAAAACTTATCCATAGAAAGTTCTCCCAATTACTGCATTTGGTAAAAAGCATCTTCACAAAACAGGAAAACCTTTACCCACAAATGACACTTTTGAGCAATAGGTTCCAATCTCTGGCATATCATAATATATTAAGAAAGCTTACTCACCTATGGCATTTGAAAGTAGACGAATTCCTTTCACTTTAAACCAGTCTGACCACGATTGTCCAACAATATGGATGCCCATTTACTTGAGTTGAGCACAGTCACAGAAACATTCTTATTTTCTGACATTCTAAAACCCATTATGAAGTCAACCTCAAGCCTTGCCAATAGCATCAGTAAAGAAATAGATTTAATGGGATATGATAAGGGCCAGATACTGTCTAGGACCTTTGCACAGATTCAGTCCTGAATATCTGCAACAAGCTCAGACATGTTCAATATCATGCCCACCATAATAAACTTAGCCACAATCCTTCAGAAAGATCAAAGCACTTTTTCAACAAAAGTTACAGTTTATTACACATTTGTTGAGTTGTTAATTTATTAAGTTGTCATCTTCTGGTGTTCCGCAAGATCACAAGGGAAAAGTAGTTTTCAGTTTTTATGCCGACAGAACATGAAAGCTTGCATGCTACAGTTTAGCACTGAAATTGTGAAGTTTTGGTAACGATGCTATCATTAAGCTTAGAGGGATTTGATCACTAAGAATTTTCTGAGATAACAGTTGAAGGGTAAATGATATATTTTATCTGAATGATGGAATGTTTTCAGTCTGAACAAATTAAGTACTTGTATTTTTGTGTAAATAAGATGAAGTTTATTGGGTTTGAAAGTTGATGTAACTTGTGTCTGATGAATTATCTGGTATACTTGTATTGAAACTATTATCTATGAGGTCAGAGAGATGTGATAGTGTGGGTTTGTGTGTGTTTGTATGTTTGTATGTGTGTGTAGCGGCTTGTACTAGTCCCCTGAGATAGCATGCTATAGGTTTACAAGGATTCCCAATCAGAAACCTTACATTGACTCCAAGATGGGCAACTCCCCTCATCATAGAGAGCTATACACCAACTTCCATCTTTTAATACCTTGCTGTATGATGAAGCCATGCAATCTCATTACTAACTTTCAACTCTCTGGACAGATGCTCTATCCACTACAACACAGAGGCAGCCATGGGATCAAACCATCAACCTTCCACTCTCTAGACGGATGCTCTATCCACTACAACACAGAGGCAGCCATGGGATCAAACCATCAACCTTCCACTCTCTAGACAGATGCTCTATCCACTACAACACAGAGGTGTCCATGGGATCAAACCATCAACCTTCCACTCTCTAGACAGATGCTCTATCCACTACAACACAGAGGCGTCCATGGGATCAAACTCTCTAGACAGATGCTCTATCCACTCAACCTTCCACTCTCTAGACAGATGCTCTATCCACTACAACACAGAGGTCCATGGGATCAAACCATCAACCTTCCACTCTCTAGACAGATGATCAATGGGATCAAACCATCAACCTTCCACTCTCTAGACAGATGCTCTATCCACTACAACACAGAGGCGTCCATGGGATCAAACCATCAACCTTCCACTCTCTAGACAGATGCTCTATCCACTACAACACAGAGGTGTCCATGGGATCAAACCATCAACCTTCCACTCTCTAGACAGATGCTCTATCCACTACAACACAGAGGTGTCCATGGGATCAAACCATCAACCTTCCACTCTCTAGACAGATGCTCTATCCACTACAACACAGAGGTGTCCATGGGATCAAACCATCAACCTTCCACTCTCTAGACAGATGCTCTATCCACTACAACACAGAGGTGTCCATGGGATCAAACCATCAACCTTCCACTCTCTAGACAGATGCTCTATCCACTACAACACAGAGGTGTCCATGGGATCAAACCATCAACCTTCCACTCTCTAGACAGATGCTCTATCCACTACAACACAGAGGTGTCCATGGGATCAAACCATCAACCTTCCACTCTCTAGACAGATGCTCTATCCACTACAACACAGAGGTGTCCATGGGATCAAACCATCAACCTTCCACTCTCTAGACAGATGCTCTATCTATCCACTACAACACACAGATGCTCTATCCAGGTGTCCATGGGATCAAACCATCAACCTTCCACTCTCTAGACAGATGCTCTATCCACTACAACACAGAGGTGTCCATGGGATCAAACCATCAACCTTCCACTCTCTAGACAGATGCTCTATCCACTACAACACACAGAGGTGTCCATGGGATCAAACCATCAACCTTCCACTCTCTAGACAGATGATCCACTAAACACATCCATGGGATCAAACCATCAACCTTCCACTCTCTAGACAGATGCTCTATCCACTACAACACAGAGGTGTCCATGGGATCAAACCATCAACCTTCCACTCTCTAGACAGATGCTCTATCCACTACAACACACAGCCAGGATGTCCATGGGATCAAACCATCAACCTTCCACAACTCAGGCCATCAAACCATCAACCTATCTAGACGGATGCTCTATCCACACACAGAGGTGTCCATGGGATCAAACCATCAACCTTCCACTCTCTAGACAGATGCTCTATCCACTACAACACAGAGGCAGCCATGGGATCAAACCATCAACCTTCCACTCTCTAGACAGATGCTCTATCCACTACAACATGGGATCAAACCATCAACCTTCCAGAGGCTACAACACAGAGGTGTCCATGGGATCAAACCATCAACCTTCCACTCTCAGGACAGATGCTCTATCCACTACAACACAGAGGTGTCCATGGGATCAAACCATCAACCTTCCACTCTCAGGACAGATGCTCTATCCACTACAACACAGAGGTGTCCATGGGATCAAACCATCAACCTTCCACTCTCTAGGACAGATGCTCTATCCACTACAACACAGAGGCAGCCATGGGATCAAACCATCAACCTTCCACTCTCAGGACAGATGCTCTATCCACTACAACACAGAGGTGTCCATGGGATCAAACCATCAACCTTCCACTCTCTAGACAGATGCTCTATCCACTACAACACAGAGGCGTCCATGGGATCAAACCATCAACCTTCCACTCTCTAGACAGATGCTCTATCCACTACAACACAGAGGTGTCCATGGGATCAAACCATCAACCTTTCCAGACTCTCTCCATGGGATCAAACCATCAACCTTCCAGACAGATGCTCTATCCACTACAACACAGAGGCAGCCATGGGATCAAACCATCAACCTTCCACTCTCTAGACAGATGCTCTATCCACTACAACACAGAGGTGTCCATGGGATCAAACCATCAACCTTCCACTCTCTAGACAGATGCTCTATCCACTACAACACAGAGGTGTCCATGGGATCAAACCATCAACCTTCCACTCTCTAGACAGATGCTCTATCCACTACAACACAGAGGCAGCCTACTGTTTTGCTGATGTTACAACACCAACAGAGTAAGTATTAAGTTTGGTCATGGCTGTGTCTGAGTGATTAAGCCTAATAACAACATGAGCATAACTTTGACTCTCTATGGGGATTTGAAACAGATGCATCAAAGCACATTGGTATACATACCTGGCAGTTGTTTTTGTTAATTAGTGTAATAGGACTGGCACTTTTGCTCTGGAATGAATTCTGTTTGTTAGAATTTAGAGAATATGGACTGGCAGTTGTGATCTGAAACTAAAATTTGTGAGAGTTTGGGGAATATGGACTGCGAGTTTGGGACTTGGTGTACCATTTCCCCTAATACTGAGTAATATTGTACTCGCTGGTGGTGAAGGAGGTTCATCTGGTGTGCAGGTGTCAGGACTGTAGATCATAAGTGTACTCTTCTGTTTTCAGCATGAAACAGGCAGATTTCACTACAGACCAAGAGACTGCAATATACAGTACTAATCAAAAGTACCTCCCTCTGTCAAGTCTACTCTGTCCAGAACATGCAATGGTATTTCAATAGCAGTTAACCAAATTGATAATTATATAAACCAATGTAAAAGATATGTATAAGGGACCATACATAATTTATGGCAGGAGGTTGGTGATGATATTTATGGAGAAGCATATACAATGTGAATGACCCCCTTAAACTTTATGCACAAAGTAAGAGATCCCTCCTGTATGTCATGTACAAAATCAATTACCCCCTCCCATAACTTTTAAGCATAACATTTAAATATTTTATGAACAAAACTGCTGATCCCCCCTAGTACATGTGTACCAAATTGATGACCCCCTCTATCTCCCCAAAACAACATGGGTGACCTCCCCCAACCCCAATAAATTATGAACTGAAGTGCAGCTGACAACATCAGACAGACAGTGTCCTACCTGTCACACTAGAACTAAAACAGAAGTAACACAAATCTGAAGTTGTCAAATTTTTGGCAAACCAACTCCATAGGCTGTTTGAATTTTGCATAATATATGCATGCATTATTAATAACTACGTACACTTTTTGAAACCATCAGTTATTATACTGGTAATACTGTTGCAATTTGTATTAATTCCTATCAATACACAAGTATCATCTGGCTAACAATTACGATAGTTTTATAATTCAATGTATTGTTAAACTAATAATTCAGTATACAAATGAGATTTACGTCACTTTTAGCAATATTCCAACAATACCACGGCAGGGGACACCAGAAATGGGCTTCACACATTGTACCCTTGTGGGGAATCGAACCCGGGTCTTCGGCTTGACAAGCGAACGCTTTAACCACTAGGTAACAACCATATTACACTTCACTTCAGATTGTTTCCTTCACTGCTGCAAAACTCATCAGCAAAACGATTTTTAATAAAACCAGTTTGAACTGAATTATAAATTATTTCACTAAATTGTTTAAATATTCACTATATTTTTGCTGTGAATTTTTTTTGAAAAGTTACAAGTCTCAGAATGTCAGGCCAGTGTATACTGAATGCTGGTGTCACCTGTAGATCACCAGGATATGCCTGTATATCTTCGCAAGGATTTCCTAAAGACAATATCAGAGTCTGTGCTTCAAAATACCCGTCAATTTGTGAGACACGTGAATGTCAAATTACTAATAAGAGTATCTCACTGTTCGATGAATCTGACATCGCCGAGACCTGAGCTAATGTTTCTGCCTTCAATCTGTCTGAACGGCCATCTTGGATTAATGGCACTCAGTGAGAGCTCAATACAAAGTAGACTGGTTGATAATTAATACCCATCCCAAGTCGATGTTTATCCAGATTGATATTAAAACCATTAATTAGTATTGATTGTATATCATACAACAGTTAATGGGGCATCTTCTTGAGATGGATCGGGCTGGAACGGCCAGCTGGTTGTTTATGCAGATATCTTGCGGAGATATATATACAGTTTAGAAACTCATTTGGGTCTTCAAGACTTCCAGAGACGTATCATCACTCACAAAGAGTGAGATGTTGGTGAGTGGTCACTGTTTATTGCTACATCAGCTATTTATGGGTATGCCATATTAATCCATTGATGGCTGGGCGGCAGTTATTCAATTACTGAAACCATCAAACTGTTCACGTGAGGCAACTTCATTGTTGAGATTAATATTGAGGCATTGATTCAACAAACAACGCAGAGGAGCAAAAGCACTTACAATTCTGAATCTATTTCTCTCATCTCAAACTGGGTTCAGTACCCTCTTCCTTCTTCCAAATTTCCTCTATCATATACTCTCTGCACTTACTCTCTTCTTCAACTATACACACATTCCTCTATCCTATACTCTTTGCACTTACTCTCTTCTTCAACTATACACACATTCCTCTATCATATACTCTCTGCACTTCAACTCTCTCCACTATCATTCCTCTATACACACATTCCTCTATCATATACTTGGTCCACTCTGCACTTACTCTTCTTCAACTATCATTTCATATCTTGCACAACCTCTATCAACTACACATTCCTCTATCTACCTTCCTTATACTCTCTAGTCCACTATACACACATTCCTCTATCCTACCTTCCTTTCTCTGCATAACCTCTTGGTCCACTATCCACATTCCTCTATCATATACTCTCTGCACTTACCTCTTCTCCAACTATACACACATTCCTCTATATACATATACTCTCTTGCACTATCCACATTCCCTCTCCTACTTCTTCAACTATACTACACATTCCTCTATCCTACATTCCCTTCACTAACCCTCTTGGTCCACTACACACATTCCTCTATCCTACCTTCCCTTCACTAACCCTTTTCTTCCACTATACACATTCCTCTATCCTACATTCCCTTCACTAACCCTCTTGGTCCACTATCCACATTCCTCTATACATTCCCTTCACTATTCCTCTTAGTCCACTATCCACATTCCTATCCTGCACCTTCCCTTCACTAAACCTCTTGGTCCACTATCCACATTCCTCTATCCTACATTCCCTTCACTAACCCTCTTGGTCCACTATCCACATTCCTCTATCCTACCTTCCCTTCACTAAACCTCTTGGTCCACTATCCACATTCCTCTATCCTACCTTCCCTTCACTAACCCTCTTGGTCCACTATCCACATTCCTCTATCCTACCTTCCCTTCACTAACTCTCTTGGTCCACTATCACATTCCTCTATCCTACCTTCCCTTCACTAAACCTCTTGGTCCACTATCCACATTCCTCTATCCTACCTTCCCTTCACTAACTCTCTTGGTCCACCATCCACATTCCTCTACTCCACCAACCTCTTGGTCCACCATCACATTCCTCATCCCACCTTCCCTTCACCAACTCTCTTGGTCCACCATCCACATTCCTCCATACCTTCCCTTCACCAACCTCTTGGTCCACCATCCACATTCCCTATCCTACCTTCCCCTTCACTAAACCTCTTGGTCCACTATCCACATTCCTCTATCCTACCTTCCCTTCACCAAACCTCTTGGTCCACTATCCACATTCCTCCTTTCCCACCTTCCCTTCACTCAAACCTCTGGTCCACCATCCACATTCCCTATCCCACCTTCCCTTCCACTTCTACCCTCTTGGTCCACCATCCACATTCCTCTATCCTACCTTCCCTTCACCAACCCTCTCTTGGTCCACCATCCACATTCCACTATCCCACCTTCCCTTCACTAAACCTCTTGGTCCACCATCCACATTCCTCATCCTACCTTCCCTTCACTCAAACCTCTTGGTCCACTATCCACATTCCTCTATCTTACCTTCCCTTCACTAACTCTCTTGGTCCACTATCCACATTCCTCTATCCTACCTTCCCTTCACTAACTCTCTTGGTCCACTATCACATTCCTCTATCCTACCTTCCCTTCGCTAACCCTCTTGGTCCACTATCACATTCCTCTATCCTACCTTCCCTTCGCTAACTCTCTTGGTTCACTATCACATTCCTTTATCCTACCTTCCCTTCACTAACCCTCGTCCACCTCCACATTGTCTATCATACCACTTTCACTACCCTCTCCCTCCACTTTCTCATCTACTTTCCCATACCCTCCATTTCTATCCACAATTTCTCTCCTTTCTCTCCCTTTGATTGATCAACTATCCACATTCTCCAAACCATACTTCCTTCACTAGCCTATGTTATTCCACTCCGGTCCTCTTCCTTCTGTTCAATACAGTATTTCAATGCTGACACCAGGTGTCTATACCACATGTGATCATCCCATCTTCTCTTAGATTCTATTATGCACAAACTCCATTCTCCTAAGTACCAGAAGCCATATCTGAACTCCAATCACCAATCATGTCCTAGAGACTCTGATCTGGGTCTACCATCTCTTCCCTCCTATTTTCTACTTCACCCGTGCATCACTTTCCTGACTCAAGACTGCACCCAATCCATCACACTTTTTCCAATTTCATTTTCAACTGTCTGATGCTCAACACATATCAAAAGTTCAGCCTGCACTACAGCTCAACAGACCTTCACTCTCACATAGCAATTGAACGGCCTTTATGTTCATGGTGTATGATCACAGGAACGTAACCTCTCACCAACACCAGATAAGAATCAACATCCTGTTCCTGTACCTCTTCATCCATCACCCTTCTGTACCCTTCACCCATCACCCTCCTGTACCCTTCACCCACCTGTACCCTTCACCCATCACCCACCTGTACCCTTCTGTTTCTGTACCCTTCACCCATCACCTTCCCTGTACTTCCCTTCACCCATCACCCTCTCTGTACCCTTCACCCTTCTGTACCCTTTCACCCTCCTGTACCCTTCACCCTCCTGTACCCCCTTCACCCATCACCTTCCTGTACCCTCCACCCATCCTTTCTCCATCACCCTCCTGTACCCTTCACCCTCCATCACCCTCACTTCACTCCTTCACCCATCACCCTCCTGTACCCTTCACCCATCACCCTCCTGTACCCCTTCACCCATCACCCTCCCTGTCACTCCTTCACCCATCACCCTCCTGTAACCCTTTCACCCTTCTGTACCCTTCACCCATCACCCTTCTGTACCCTTCACCCATCACCCTTCTGTACCCTTCAATCATCCCTTCTGTACCCTTTTCACCCTCCTGAAACTTTCACCCATCTCCCTCCAGTACCCTTCACCCAACACCAACCTGTACCCTTCACCCATCACCCACCTGTACCCTTCACCCTTCACCCACCTGTACCCTTCACCCACCACCCACCTGTACCCTTCACCCTTCTGTATCCTTCACCCATCACCTTCCTGTACCCTTCACCCATCACCCACCTGTACCCTTCACCCATCACCCACCTGTACCCTTCACCCATCACACTCCTGTACCCTTCACCCACCTGTACCCTTCACCCTTCTGTACCCTTCACCCATCACCTTCCTGTACCCGTCACCCATCACCCTCCACCAATAACCCTCCTGTACCCTTCACCCATCACCCTCCTGTACCCTTCACCCATCACCCTCCTGTACCCTTCACCCTTCTGTACCCTTCACCCATCACCCTTCTGTACCCTTCACCCATCACCCTCCTGTACCTTCACCCATCACCCACCTGTACCCTTCACCCATCACCTTCCTGTACCCTTCACCCATCACCTTCCTGTACCCTTCACCCTCCTGTACCCTTCACCCATCACCTTCCTGTACCCTTCACCCTCCTGTACCCTTCACCCATCACCTTCCTGTACCCATCACCCATCACCTTCCCTGTACCCTTCACCCATCACCTTCCTGTACCCTTCACCCATCACCTGTACCCTCACCCATCACCCCTCCTGTACCCTTCACCCATCACCTTCCTGTACCCTTCACCCATCACCAACCTGTACCCTTCACCCATCACCCTCCTGTACCCTTCGGCCATCACCCTCCTGTACCCATCATCCTCCAGTACCCTTCACCCATCTGTACCCATCACCCTCCTGTACCCATCATCCTCCAGTACCCTTCACCCATCTGTACCCTTCACCCTCCTGTACCCATCACCCTCCAGTACCCTTCACCCATCACCCTCCTGTACCTTCACCCATCACCTTCCTGTACCCTTCACCCATCACCCTCCAGTAACCTTCACCCATCACCTTCCAGTACCCTTCACCCATCACCCTCCTGTACCTTCACCCATCAGCTCCTACATCCCTACTCCTCCTCCAGCCTCACACATCTATTCAGCCCCTGGTTTAAGCTGGAATTATACGACTGTAATCTGCAGCTGCTCAGACTCTGCAGTAATACCATCAGCTCCTGCTGCCACACTCCATGGATGAGTCCAACCTCTACTTATTCTGCATTCTATAATAAGACAATCCTATTTTAGTCAGGACAGTATGTTACCAAATAATTGAATGCTTGTGAGACAAAATGGGAAAAACATAGTAAAATATGGCCTCGCAATGAGAGATGAGTGAAAGAAAAATCCTCTTACCCTTGAACAGAATCTCATAAATCTGTATAAGCTGCCTGACTGTGATCAGGAAATGAGGGAACATCTAGTATATTACCACGGGTAGATAAATCAGTTACACAGGCCAGCACAGGCGAACTGGTGTTACACATGGAGGAATCAGACTTCTACCAATCTGGATGAGTGAGTGAGTGAGTAGTTTTACGCCGCACGCAGCAATATTCCAGCTATATGGTGGCGGTCTGTAAATAATCGAGTCTGGACCAGACAATCCAGTGATCAACAGCATGAGCATCGATCTGCGCACTTGGGAACTGATGACATGTGTCAACCAAGCCAGCGAGCCTGACCACCCGATCCTGTTAGTAGCCTCTTACGACAAGCATGGGTTACTGAAGGTTCATTCTAACCCGGACCTTCAAGGGTTACCAATCTGGATGAAGGTGAGTGAATTGGAGTGAGGAGTCAGCAACTTGGGTCAGGGAACAGTCAGCAAGATGGGCCAGGGAACAGTCAGCAACATGGGTCAGGGAACAGTCAGCAAGATGGGTCAGGGAACAGTGGGTCAGGGAACAGTCAGCAACTTGGGTCAGGGAACAGTCAGCAAGATGGGTCAGGGAACAGTCAGCAAGATGGGTCAGGGAACAGTCAGCAAGATGGGTCAGGGAACAGTCAGCAAGATGGGTCAGGGAACAGTCAGCAAGATGGGTCAGGGAACAGTCAGCAAGATGGGTCAGGGAACAGTCAGCAACTTGGGTCAGGGAACAGTCAGCAAGATGGGTCAGGGAACAGTCAGCAACTTGGGTCAGGGAACAGTCAGCAAGATGGGTCACTTGGGGGAACAGTCAGCAAGCAACTTGGGTCATGGGTCAGCAGCAACTTGGAACAGTCAGCAACAGTCAGCAACAAGATGGGTTTGGGGTCAGGGAACAGTCAGCAACTTGGGTCAGGGAACAGTCAGCAAGATGGGTCAGGGAACAGTCAGCAACATGGGTCAGGGAACAGTCAGCAACATGGGTCAGGGAACAGTCAGCAACTTGGGTCAGGGAACAGTCAGCAACTTGGGTCAGGGAACAGTCAGCAACTTGGGTCAGGGAACAGTCAGCAACTTGGGTCAGGGAACAGTCAGCAAGATGGGTCAGGGAACAGTCAGCAACTTGGGTCAGGGGGCTTGGGCCAGGGAACAGTCAGGGAACAGGGAACAGTCAGCAACATGGGTCAGGGAACAGTCAGCAACTTGGGTCAGGGAACAGTCAGCAAGATGGGTCAGGGAACAGTCAGCAACTTGGGTCAGGGAACAGTCAGCAACTTGGGTCAGGGAACAGTCAGCAATGGGTCAGGGAACAGTCAGCAAGATGGGTCAGGGAACAGTCAGCAAGATGGGCCAGTTGCTGGAGATCACATCATCCACACACCACAACCCTCATCCACACCAGCTATGGACATTCGAATACATTCCCAGCAGCCATCTCATGATAAAAGGCTACCATCTTTCATCTGACCTGGCACATTGCAAATCACCCCCATGGATTGTTTCTTACATACTTTTCAGTGGTTTGCCTGTCCAGATTAAAGAAAGAATGCCAAGGTCACTGTGACATTCATGGATTATTGGTGACCATGGCATTAAACTACATTCACCCACCCATTCCTGGTGTCCCCACCGTAATATTGCTGGAATATTGAGAAAAGCTGTGTAAAACTTAACTCACTCACTCACTCACCCAAATCATAACATATTGACGCATGAACACAGCGGCCATGGGTGTGTCACTAGTGATAGAATTTCTTGGTCAATATCTGCCCGAATATTTGATCAACAATGGATATATGAACTATCTTCAACCTTCTCATGAATCTCAACATTGACAGGAAATCGAGAACCACTAACCCAGTGCCACAAATACAAATGCCCGACTAGTTTATTCAAGTTGGTGAGCTAGTCACTGACTTATAACATAGTATCCTGTGGTGTGACCGTCATATCACATCAGTAGCCAGTAGTTTCTGAAAAGTACTGGACGTTGAGATCCCATCAGAACTCCAACCCCACCTGTATAGCCCAACCTCATAACCACCTAATCTTAGAACCTTATAACCCAGTGACCCAATAACCCTATCAATTATTAGTTAGTTATCATGGAGTAATAAATCATGCAAAAAATAATTTTTAATTTTTACCACTGCAACTGATGTATTAGGATTCAGATATTAGGAAAATATAAATACAGAATATTAGCTTCATCATAGCTTTTGTCTTACTGAAAGGTGTGTCTAGAGATGAGTCCTCATTACCTTTATGTAGGGTTTATGTAGAAACATCTTTTAAACTACGTAGTCGTAACTTATACCCTTTTGAATAGTATGTCAGTGAGATAAGTTTTTATTACTTTAAACTGGTGTCTTTCTCTAAGCTATTACTGATCATGATGAAATATCTGAATATCTGAATCCTAATATATCGCTTCTAGTGGTAATAATTACCGGTAATAATGAATTTTTGTGTGTATTACACCATGCTATTAGAATGGATAAGAAATATCTGAGATGGATTCGGCATCTGGCAATTCATGTTCAGTCATTTTGAGTTCTGTCTTGATCCTGCAACACTTCCGACAAACACAAATCTGTGCTAACTTTACAAAACTTTATTTATTTATTTTTTATCATCATCATCATCATCCCCACTACCACCATCATCATCATCATCATCATCATCATCCATGAGTGTAATTCATACATCATAAAACTTTCAGATATGTTAATAGTAGAAAATAAGACTGTTCCAAATGTTTAAAAAATAATACAAAGACGTCTATATTCCTTTCACTAGGTATTCATCTAACAGTAAAACAGATCTGATGTGAATGGGATTTGAATTTGGCCACAAATCTGGACCAGATAGGCTAGTGATTTACATCCTGAGCATCAATGAACGAAGTTACTGATCTGACCACTGGATCCATTTAGTCGCATATTACTGCGTGTATAGATTCCTTGGGGCCTATACATTGTTACCCAGACTCCCTAAGGGTCTGAAGATAAAGATGTTGACAGAACTGAAAATTCAAAACTTGATCAAGAATACAAATGCATACAAAACCTTTTGATCAGTTTTCTATGAATCTGGATTTTAATTTAGTAATTCACTGAGATGACATCATGTCTGGACTTTATCGCACCTTTCCGAATATATTTAGACAGAGGGATCACATCAATAGGATGAAAATGAATTTTCACAAAACTTAATCAACACATGACAAAAGCGAAGAGCGTTCTCTCCTCTTTAAAATGAGTTGTCACACTATAGTCTTTTCACAGAAGAAAATTGAAAAAAATAATAAAAACTATTGGGATGGTGTGACCCATAAACATAGAGGTAACAGTAACAGGTCGATTGGCAAAACTCACAGTTGTCCACCAAATTCTACACACTTGATGAAACTGAATGACTACTGCGATAATAAAACGGAGCCTAGCTTTCTGAAGAATGAACTCTCCAGAGAAATCGCAGACCATAGTTTGGAAGCAGTCAAAAACTTTGATCATTGAAGCGCGCTAAAAACAATTTACTCACCGGTTTAAAACTCCAGGCCGCTGTGGCAATACACGAAGACCGAGTCAAGAAAATTAATCCAAAGGGCCTTGTGGAAGTCTGTATGAAGAGGACAAGAAACCAAAAATCAATGGTCGTTGGTCGTAGTTGGATTTGAGAGCAGCAGCGAAATCTAACTACCAAAGGTATCTGACTGTGCGACGAAGGCGCCAAGAGAATTCCGAACTACTCGATGGCCGAGTCGGAAACAACCAAGGGAATCCCAGCCAAAGCTACAGTGTATCTGTGCTGTAGGAATCATATTATGACGACCCCATGTTTAATGGAACCCCTTACACGCCTGCTTCATAATCAATGTCTCATGAGTTTCAATCAATAAACGGCTTGCTATCTATCGAATCCTCATGAGCAGCCACCTCTGTCAAAATATACATGCTTTTTGTCAACATCACAGGCAGCAAGCTCTTTTTCTGATCAAGATGTAATTTCAAGGTCCATGGAAGTCTCTATTTAAAATAACGAGTGTTTTTCTTCCAAACATGAGCGGCTATTTCAGGTTCTCGCAGCTGAAATCTACATGTACCTTCACAATGCACAAGATTCGGTGAAACTTTTCACAGGATTTTTTCAAAGATTACATAATATTTAGCCAAAAGTTCGCCACATTTCCGCTGAATGGAACAGAAGACTTGTCTGAACTCATGGTGTATTATCAAAGGACATGTAGGCCAGACCCCTTGTGAAAAGATTTACATTTTTAAGAAAAAACACCTTCCAAAACCACCAAACTGTACACTGGATGGTGTTTTGTCAAAACAGGGATTCATATCAATGAAATTGGAAACATTGATTCTTAACGGGGTAGTATTTACTAAGATATCTAAATCTCTGCCTTCATTCCCTCATCCAAATATATCTCAAATTAACCATCATTGGTGTGATCGTAACTGTGATATATAGATGCAGATGTTTGTTTTTATTCATCAAACCATCCCGATGCCTATAACCTTTTTTGACATACTTTCACAAATACTGCTATTTGGAAAATGTGAGGATTCACCTGAATTTATACATCATGAGGGCCACACTGTTAGCATGATGAGCCCCCAAAGTGGATATTTATCATAATACAATCATCAGCAACATTTCTGAGAAAAATTGTTATCAGCAGGCAGACTTTTTCTGAATATTTATCAGTTAGAAATGTGTACGTGCATAAAACAAACCAAACTGACATATTTTATTTGAGAAATTTTAAGCCATAAAAACTTGAATCTCCTTATTCATTATTTTAAATGAAGATTTGA